GTGGTAGCCAGACAACTTGTACGAGTGAGGGCAAGAATAACATTTTCTCTAGTCCAGCATAAGAGAAAATGTGTTACTGGGGGTAACTGTAGAAAATTATTCCTTTTGTATCTAATTAAGTAAATTTATTCAGGTATACACAAATACAGTTACATAGATTATCATACATAACAGCATATGTGTAGAGAACCTAGGATAACCCAGAAAAGTCGGACAGAGTGACTTATTTCCATTGCCTTCACTCAGAGCATCATTTCTTCTAAAAATGGTGTTACATGAGAATGGGAGTGTTCCTCTTTATTTATTCTACTGTATCAGTGTAGAGACAACTTGTACACTATGTAACTTGTACACAAAACAGATGTGTACACCTGGCTTGTTTACAAAATTTGCATTTGCCTGGTTTGTTTACATAACTCTGCGCCTGCCCTCCCCATGTATTCATTCTCTTCTTTTAAATTCTTTTTTTTTTTGTTTACTCCCCCCTGACCAAAACTTTTAAGACTACAAATTTTTTAAGGTAAGTAATAAAGTGAATTTGTTTATGCATTTTTTTTGCTTTGGGATGTTTAAATGTCATAAAAATATTATGGTGGGTTGAAAGGGCCCTGGTATGGGCCCAGCTGGCAAACCTTCATACCCCACTTGATTTCTTAAAAAAATTACCACTCGTCCCCCCTTGTTTAAAGAACTAAGATTTTTTAAAGGGAAAAAGGAATGGGTGAATTTATATGCATTTTTATCATTTCTTGGTACTTTAATGTCATGCTAAAAAACATTTATACACTGCAATAGAGAAAAAAAAATTTCCCAGGGGGGATCTTCATTGATTAGGTAAAGCTTTTGTACAGTTGCCATGACTTGCTCCCACGAAAAATTGCCCCACCTATGGTATAAGGGGGCACTCCCTCAACTACCCCAAGTCTTTCCCTCAGCAACAAAAACCCAAATATTTTTGTACGCAAATGGGGAAAACCTTTTTGCACAACCAATTTCAGTTGGGGGTCCCCCAAAGGGGGGAAATTTTCCCGGTCTTCTCTTTCTCCCATCATAAATGGGCCTTTCCAAATGCTTCGCAATTACTCAAACCCCCCAATTTTTGCGTGACAATACAAAAAGTCTGCTCTAACCCCAGCCCAATCACGTAGCCCAAAAAGTAAAAAACCGAAAATTTCAGAAAATTTACCCGGATGGAGGACTAACAAAATTAACCCAAAAATTTACCAAAACCCATTCTTTTAGTTTGGGAAAAGAGCTACAGAAAGTCCCTTTACATAATGATAAATGGATCACCCATCACAAAACTAAAGAGGGGAAAATTCTTTTGGAATTCACCTTGATAATAGGGCTCAAATTTCATTTTCCCATTTTAAAAAACCAAATTTTTAAGAAAAATTTTCCCAAAAATGTAGGTTTTATCGAAGATACGGTTTCTTTTTTTCCACAGCAGCCCCTGGCCCTATATCACTTTTATTTACCCCCATTAACCCATGGAATTTGTTTCATGGGGGCCCCAACAACCAAAATTTAAACCCTCTCGACCACTAATTACCCAACAAAAGGCTGCAAATTAGAATGTAAAAAAATTCTCACCACAGGCAGCACCCCTCCCCCCAATATTCAATACACCCCAAACCCCTCAATTTCAAAAATCCAAATTTTCCTTTTAATTTCCCGCCCTATTTAAAACATAGAACACTTAACTTGATATTTAAACCCCCCCTAAACTTTTCCTGCCCAAACCCCAACAGAACACATGACCCTAAAAACAAGGCAAAAGGTTTACTCTTTGGGTGTTTCCCCGTGTCCCTTCACACTAGCAAAAATAAAGGGAATAAAAGGGGCCCCCAAAAAACTGGAATTCATTACCTGTAAATTTAAAAAAAAACCTACCTGTTTTAAAAAATTCAAATCTCTTCTCAAAGACCTTTTCTCCCCAAAAACCCAAAAAAATACTGAATAACTGAACCTTATAAATTTTTAATCTTAAATGTTTTCACAATTTTTATCACATAAATTTTTTAAAACCCAAAACCCCAAACTAACTTTATTTTTTTTAAAAAACACTAAACCCAAAAGAATACTCCATATGACTGAAAGTACAAAAAATGCATGAACCTATGGGCCTGTCTTTTAATACTCACTTGTGCTTTATAGTTATTGTTTTCATTAATGTTTTTTCAAATGATTTTTATATTGCTTGTTAATTTAAGTTAATTTTAAGCCAGCCCGTAATGCTATGCATAGTATAAGTGGCTTTGGCATGCTGCTCTTATCTGTATTTTTTTGTACCTCTGTATGTGTGCTCAAATTGTAAATAAATAAATAAATAAATAAATAAATAAATAAATAAATAAATAGAATATTGTGTAGGTGGTGTGGCCTGGTATGGTAGCCTGGCTGGCTACCATACATACCACACCTGATATCTTACAATAAATACTACTCATCTCACTCTAGATTAAGACTACAAATATTTTAAGGTAAATAATGAGTGTACTCTATGTGTATTTTACTTTTTTATTGTTTTTTAATGCCTAGTTCTATTGCTAACTTAATACACCTACCATCTGACTTACGACCTGCTCAACATACGTCCACTCGACTTACGACTGTGCATCTGGCAGCTGGGCTGGGCTGGGTGATGCACACTGCTGTACAATATTTGACAATACTCGTGGGGGCAATGTGTCATGCAGGTAGCATCAGTTTGAGTAACCCTCCCCTATCAGCAGCATCATACTGTATTAACTGGACAGTAAATTTCACCATGGCCCCTAAGATGAAGTCTGAATCTTGCACTGGAGATTGTGGCAAGAAAGGCTCTTACTCTCGAACTCTCTATTTGTTTTCACTGTTGCACATAAACCTGTCTGTATCTGTCTGCCTGTATATCTGTCTGTATCTCTATATGTGTCTGTTTATGTCTGTCTACTAGTGTGTCTGTCTTTCTGTCTACCTGTGTGTCTGTCTTTCTGTCTACCTGTGTGTCTGTCTTTCTGTCTACCTGTGTGTCTTTCTGTCTACCTGTGTGTCTTTATGTCTACCTGTGTGTCTTTGTCTGCCTGTGTGTCTTTATTTCTACCTGTGTGTCTGTCTTTCTGTCTACCTGTGTCTGTGTCTACCTGTGTGTCTGTCTGTCTTTCTACCTGTGTGTCTGTCTTTGTCTGCTTGTCTGTCTCAGAGCCACTCATTAAGAGTGTACTTGGTCTTGAAGATGCCATATTAATAATGATAATAATGATAATCACTGAGGCGCATTAAATGTGTATAAAACATTAATATAGACATTTTGCTTAATCCATCTATGATTTTTTTTTTCAAAATTATATAATAAACATGCTACATAACATATAAATTAACAAATATGAGATGTTTTTCTGGTCGGCTTGACAGTGAACAGGAACTGTTCGTGTCCAGGCTGGTAACAACAACAACGTTTGTTTACATAACTCGTGAACATTCTACATTCTCCTTCTCTCTCTCTCATTTATTCATTTAATCTTGTTTACTCACCTCTCACTCTACATTAAAACTACAGATACTTTAAGGTAAGTAATGAGTGGACACGATTATTATATTATAGCTTAATAATAATAATATTAATATTAGTACATATGTATTATTGTAATAATAATGATTATTAATATTATTATTAATTTAGGGCACTGGAGCACAGATCCACTGTATAGCACTTTGTCTGGATTTTTTGGGTTATCCTAGGTAATTTATAATATGTATGATAACTTGACTTACGTGTACCAGTGTGAGAGAGAGAGAGAGAGAGAGATACAGAAAGATACAGAGAGATACAGAAAGATACAGAGAGATACAGAAAGATACAGAGATACAGAAAGATACAGAGAGATACAGAAAGATACAGAGAGATACAGAGAGAGATAGAGAGAGAGATACAAAGAGACAGCCAATTCGGTCAGCCAGTCAGCCAACTAACCACCCACCCATCCAGCCACCCAAACCCAGCCACCCATCCAGCCACCCACCCATCCAGCCACCCACCCACCCACCCATCCCGCCACTCACCCATCCCGCCACCCATCCAGCCACCCACCCATCCAGCCACCCACCCATCCAGCCACCCACCCATCCAGCCACCCACCCACCCGGCTAACCACAGACCCGGCCACCCAGCCAGCCAGCCGGATACGTATTACACATGTTCCAGAGTTGTTTCTCTTTACTTAGGGTATAGGTTATACAACATTCTGGCAGGATGACACTACCAGTGGTATTCTCCCATTCCATTGTGTCGACAATACATAAAGATAATAGTAACATAAGATACTGTATGCAATGTAAAATTTACAATACATATCACTACCATGTATACCTGGAGTTTACCTGGAGAGAGTTCCGGGGGTCAACACCCCCACGGCCCGGTCTGTGACCAGGCCTCCTTAGGTCAGTGTCCCAGGATGCGACCCACACCAGTCGACTAACACCCAGGTACCCATTTTACTGATGGGGAACATAGACAACAGGTGGAAAGAAACACGTCCAATGTTTCTACTCTGGCTGGGAATCGAACCCAGGCCCTCACCGTGTGAAGCGAGAGTGTTAACCACCAGGCCACCAGAGCCCATTATATTCAGTACATAAATAATTAAAATATAACAATAGAAGTAAATTATGGTAAAAAGAATGAAATAATGATTGTACATTACATTACAGTATTATGTAGGTAGTTTATATAGGAAAGTTTGACATGCCCTACCCAATATGTCGGCAATTTTCAAAGGTTCGACTTACGTCCATTTCGACTTACGACCGGTTGGTCGGAACCAAGCTTGGTCGTAAGTCGGATGGTAGGTGTATATGTTAGTGTAAACTTGTGATCTAGTATTTGTATGAATTTATAAGTTGAGAAAAAGGGTGTTCCATTTTATGGCAATTTCTGCTTTACGGTGGTAGCCTGGAACCTAACCTGCCATATAAGTGGGGCCCTACTGTATACAGTGGACCTTTGGCGAGCTTTTTTGGCAAAATTTGGCCTCGAGTTTCGTGATTAGACTTGTGTTTCGGCGACCATCCAGTACCCATCCGCCCGTCACCGCGCATGCCAAGCCAATCTCCCACGCCATTTACGCTCAGTGTGCCATTGTTTACCAACACGTGACCATCACCCCGCGGGTTCATACAATACATTTCATAATAATCCATTGTTTTTTGTGCTTGCAACTGCTAAATAAGTCATCATGGACCCAAGGAAAGCTAGTGCAAGCCCTTTGGTAAATAAAGTGAGGAACACGATCCAGAGGGATTTTGAAGGGTTTGAGACAGACCTTGTCCCTGCCGACCCTCTGCCTGTTGTGGAAGGTGTTGTGGCATTGGGCAAGTCCATGGGGTTGGAGGTGAGTGACGGGGATGTGGAAGAGTTGGTGGAGGACCACAGGGAAGAGCTAACCACTGACGAACTGCAAGAGCTTCAACTGGAACAGCATCAGACCACAGCCGAGGAACTTGCTTCAGAGGAGGAGGATGAGGGAGTGGATGAGGTGCCTTCTTCAAATATTAAGGAGATTTGTGCCAAGTGGAAACAGTTGCAAAGTTTTGTTGAAAAGTATCACCCTGACCCAACTGAAACAAGCCATATCTGCAACATGTACAATGACAGTGTTGTGTCCCACTTCAGGAAAATCTTAAAGAAATGCCAGAAAAAGACCTCTCTGGACAGATATTTTGTGTGACAGGGGTCCAGTGACTCTAAAGTTGTTCCCAGTGGTATTAAAAGAAGAAGGGAAGTAACCCCAGATAAGGACTTGCTACCTAAAGTCCTAATGGAAGGAGATTCTCCTTCCAAACAATAGTGAACACCTCCCATCTTCCATCCACCCAGAAGTCTTCAGTAAAGGTAAGTGTAATGTTATTATTATTTTTTTATATTCATGTACTTGATTTCTCATTGATTTCAGTATATAAATCTTTATTTAATTTGAAAAAAAAAAGTACAGTGGACCCCCGCTTAACGATCACCTCCCAATGCGACCAATTATGTAAGTGTATTTATGTAAGTGCGTTTGTACATGTATGTTTGGGGGTCTGAAATGGACTAATCTACTTCACAATATTCCTTATGGGAACAAATTCGGTCAGTACTGGCACCTGAACATACTTCTGGAATGAAAAAATATCGTTAACCGGGGGTCCACTGTATTTTATTTTAATATTTTTGGGTGTGTGGAACGGATTAATTTTATTTCCATTATTTCTTATAGGGAAAATGGTTTAGAGTTTCGTGAATTTCGACTTTCGGCAGGCTCTCTGGAACGGATTAATCACGAAACTTGGGGGTCCACTGTATACTCAATAATTCTAGCGGCTTCAAATCAAGCAGGAGAAAGCTGGTAGGCCCACATGTGAGAGAATGGGTCTGTGTGGTCAGTGTGCATTTATAAAAAAAATCCTGCAGCACACAGTGTATAATGAGAAAAAAAAAAAATCTCTGACCGTGCTTTTGGATTAAAATCCCGACTTTGAGGTGCATTTTTGTATAGTATTTATAGTTGTATTCTAGTTTTCATGGTCTCAATTGATAGAATGGAAAACATATTACAGAAATAGAGATGATTTTGATTAGTTTCACGATGAAAACGACCTTGAAATTGAGATCAACTTAGCGGAAATGTTCGATTTTTACCAATATTTGAGGGTAAGCATATCACACCGCACGTCCAATACCCATCAACTGGGGAGTCTAATATTTTTTCACTAGTGCACTGATATTATTTATACCATTTTTACAATGCCGTAGTCTGCAGAACAGTAAATCAAAATAGAAAGCAAGAGTAATGTAAAAGGGGCCTAGAGATGTGAATAATGAACAGAGGATATGTTATTTTAGTGCCAAGAATGTCTGCATTGTTTATTCTGGACCCTATTTTGAAATTGGCATTTTTTGTAATTTGTGTGAAATTGGCCAAATTGCCAATTTCTGACCACTTTATATGGTAGGTGAAATCGGTAAATGGGCAGTTTCTTGTACTCATTGGATAGAAAAGATGGAGTTCTAAAGAAATAGCTATGAGTTTGGTCGACTGGAACAATGGAATTGGCTGAAAATAGGGCTCAAAGTCGGCGAAATCGCTGATGCGTATATATTGCTGAGATCACTAACTTTGTGGGAGCGTAATTCCGTAAGTTTTCGATCAAATTTTGTACTTTTGGTGTTATTACCATTGGGAAAAGATTCTCTATCATTTCATGTTTTTTTTTTTTTTTTTTTTTTTTTTTTGACATAAAATGACAGCTTCAGAAATGGGCTTGTGACAGTCCAAGGGTTAAGTATAAATTGTGGCATGCTTGTGTCAGAAGCCAGACACAGGTATGGTAAGATTGTGGACAGTGGAGTCAGAGTGCACATGCTGTGGATTCCATCTCATGTTGGTCATCAGATGCATGATAGAACTGATAAATTGGCTAAGCTGTATGCTTTCAAAGAGGGGGTAGATTACAATCTTGGTTCGTCAGCTAGCAATTTGAGAACAATAATACGAAAAGAACTTCAAATGAACTTTATTGACTTAAGACTTAGGGAGATTGACACAAGTCAGTCCATCTATCATCATTCCATCATGCAGGAGGAGCCACATGTCTATGGTGCATCCAACAAGATAAGCAGACTCTTGGATGTCACTACTGCCCGGCTCCGGCTGGGTTACAAGTATCTTTGGCAGGTTAAATCCCCACCACCAGATGCAGACCAAACAAAATGTAACCATTGCCAGATGGACTAATGTCACACCTTGCGTCATTGTGTACTGGAGTGTGATAAAATTAATGAATTCAGAGACAACTCACTCAGAAATGTTCAAGATATGTCAAAGTATTTTACCTACAGTGGTATATTACAAACCATTTTGGAAAAATACCCTGACTTTCCTCACTGTAAATAAAGCATTACTACATGTGTGTGTGTGTGTGTACTCACCTATTTGTGGTTGCTTGAGTTGAGACATACCTCCTTGTGTGTGCGCATGCCTGTGCACGCTTGTGTGTGTATTTGTGTTCATGTGTGTGTATGTTCATGTGTGTGTGTGTGTGTGTGTGTGTGTGCTGTTGCGTACTAGTAATCAGGTAGGTAAATCCAACATGTGACGTCTCGGGACATTAGTCCGTCTCCTTCAATACTTCTCGTTGGTTGGTAGGTGACCCAATCTGTCATTTCAAGCTGGAAAGAGAGACAGGTTACCCACTGCTTAAGAAATCACTCTCCATGATAAGTACAATACCTAAAAGACGTGGTGATTATTAAAACATTTAACAGAGATCAAAGCTGAAAGGGCTAAGTTTATTATTGGTCAAAAGTGAAGCTTTCAACCAATAAGTCCACTAGAATAGGAACAGGCTTGTACTTACAGTTGTGCTGGGAGCTGTGAGTCGAGTGATTACTGTTTGGCTGGAGCCCCACACGTCACCTTTCGGGGTGGAGGGGGAGGGAAGGGGGGGGGATAGCGGGAGCTAGACTTACCCTACCTTAATAAGCAGCCGGCAATCAAACTTTCGTTACCATATACTCGCTCGCTATTCCTATCTGTTGAACTTTTCCCTCACAATCATTCTCCTTCATTCTTCATTCTCCTTCATTCTTCTGGTATCCTGGGTATTGCTTTTGGTCACAAACTCCTCAAAACCATGAAACTGATCCTCACTGACACTTCCATCTGTGTTAGAGCATCACTTGGGAAAAGAAGAGTCCCAGATTTACCGGGGAGTCACATATTTCTTACTGCTAGGCATGATGAACAAGGACTACTGAAATGGCATTCTTATGAGCCACCGTTTTTGACATATATACTCATAAATTCTAGCGGCTTAAAATCAAGCAGGAGAAAGCTGGTAGGCCCACATGTGAGAGAATGGGTCTGTGTGGTCAGTGTGCACCATATAAAAAATATCCTGCAGCACACAGTGCATAATGAGAAAAAAAAACTCCGACTTTTTTTTAATTAAAATGCCGACTTTGTGGTCTATTTTCATATAGTATTTATGATTGTATTCTCGTTTTCTTGGTCTCATTTGATAGAATGAAAACATTTTATTGAAATAGATCTGATTTTGATTGGTTTTACTATGAAAAGAACCTTGAAATGGAGCTCAAAGTAGGAGAAATGTTTGATTTTTGCCGATGTTCAAAAGTAAACGAATGATGTCATTTTCCAATAAATGTCCGAGTAGCCCTTCTAATATGCAGTTATGATTGGGTTGATATTTTTTATTCAGTTTTTACAATATTGCAGTAGTCTGCATAACAGTAAATCTTCTAATTTGTGTTTGAATAAAAATTCAAAATAGAAAGCAAGAGTAATATCAGAGGGGCCTGGAGACGTGACTGATGAACAAAGAAAATATTATTTTAGAGCCAGGAATGTCTGCATTGTTCATTCTGGACCATATTTTGAAATTGTCATATTTTTTAATTTTCGTGAAATTGACAAAATTGCAAATTTCTGACCACATTATTGGGTAGTTGAAATCGGTAAATGGGCAGTTTCTTGTACTCAATCGATAGACAAAATGGAGTTCTAAAGAAATAGCTATGAGTTTGGTCGACTGGAGCAACAAAATTAGCTGTAAATAGGGCTCAAATTGGGCGAAATCACCGATTCGTAAATATCACCAAGGTTGATAACTTTGCAAGAGCGTAATTCCATCAGTTTTCCATCAAATTTCATTCTTTTGGTATCATTACAATCGGGAAAAGATTCTCCATCATTTCATAAGAAAAAAGTAATTTTTTTTTTTTTTTTTTTTTTTTTTTTTTTTTTTTTTTTTTTTTTTTTTTTTTTTTTTTAATTTTGCAACACCAGGAGACACCTCAGGATTTGGGGTTGCGACAGTCAACGGGTTAATGAAAATGAACATTACATACCTTTATTGAAGATTCTTGTTGGTGAGTAGTATTTATTTGTAGTCCCAGAGTGGCTACATCCCAGGTGTATGCCTACCACCTACATACACTGCGGCCTACAGCCATATTACTATAGATATACCATGTTCACCGAGTTTAATCTTTTCTAACAGCTACCTTTAGATGCCATCATAAAAAATGGGAGAAGAAATGAATAATTCATGCCGAGAATTGTACACATAAGTTTATATATTAACCCTTTGACTGTTTCGGTTGTATATATACATCTTACGCGCCACTGTTTCTGACGTATTTATTCGTGTAAATTCTAGTGGCTTCAAACCAAGCGGGAGAAAGCTGGTAGGCCCACATGTGAGAGAATGGGTCTGTGTAGTTAGTGTGCACCACATAAAAAAATCCTGCAGCACGCAGTGCGTAATGAGAAAAAACTGACCTTTTTTTTTTATTATTAAAATGCCGACTTTGAGGTGTATTTTCATGTAGCATTTATCGTTGTACTGTATTCTCGTTTGCATGGTCTCAGGTGATAAAATGGAAAACATATTACAGAAATAGAGATGATTTTCATTACTTTCACAAAGAAAATTACCTTGAAATTTAGCTGAAAGTAGCGGAAATGTTCGATTTTTACCAATGTTCAGGAGTAAGCAAATCACACCACACGCCCAATACACGTCAATTGGGGAGTCTAATATTCTTTCACTAGTGCACTGATATTATTTATACCATTTTTTACAATAATGCAGTAGTCTGCATAACAGTAAATTTTGTGTTTTTTTGTATGAATAAAAAATCAAAATAGAAAGCAATAGTAGTATAAGAGGGGCCTAGAGACATGACTAATGAACAGAGGATATGTTATTTTAGTGCCAAGAATGTCAGCATTGTTTATTCTGGACCTTATTTTGAAATTGGCATCTTTTTTAATTTGCGTGAAATTGGCCAAATTGCCAAATTCTGACCACTTTTTTG